ATCTGTCTTCATAACTTTAACAACAGTTTCTTTTCAACCATGTCTCTGCCTTCGCTCGCTCCACTCCCCCTCCGCTTCCTCCTCCTCCTTCATCTTGGCTTGCATCATGTTTTTGAGATAAGCTAATGATTTTTAAGAAAATTATTTATCACCACAACTTCTGCTACTACTGGAATGCTTTCAAGATAAGGAACTCAGATTTTCTTTCTTGAATGCAAGGTTTCAAACTAAATTACCATTCTGCATAAAATATTCAGTAGTATATACAGTATAGTGGTCGGACATTTTCTGAAATACCCTTACCTGCTTAGCTGTCATCTAAGCGAGTAAGGGTATTTTAGATGAGAAAACTGACACCACTCTCATATCTGTACATTAAATATGCTAGAGCCAGTAAACGTTAGCTAGCTTAGCACAAACCCTGTATAAAGATTACTCTGTTGTTCAGTGGTGCCTTCTGAATTAACATGCCTGTTTCATGTTTAGATCACAAAAATATCTGTATCCTTGAGTTTCACTCTTCTTGCAAACTTTTTTCTCAATGGATTTCTTTTTTTTTTTTTAAAACACTGAAAGCAATGCTTAAAATTCTTGGGTTAAAAAAACACCTACAGATAATATGATTCCCAAAGCAGGAGGTGTTGTTTCTCTTCAACACAGTCAGATCAAAAAGATCTTTCTAACAACAGTTTAGTCTATGTTATGTGTCAGTACTTTGCCTCTGTGTTCTCCATAAGCGAAAATGCAGAATATGTTTAAACAGAGCTCAAAGCGAGGATGTGAGATTAGAGAAAAGTTATAGAGATCCTCTAGTTGCCATAACAAATAAACAGCAACCACAGCAACTCTGTGTGCACGTTACTGTGTGTGTTCTCACCAACTGCTCCGCTGCCTCCTGGACACTATCAGATGGTGTGGTACAGCTTCGTAAGCCAAAGAAAGGCAACCATCACGAAATTGTAAATACAAAAATAATAAACTCAAACCATGTGTCTGTGTGTTGGAGAAAGAGTTTTTCGGCGAGTATGGGAGTTTACCGCTAACAAACTTGCCTTTTCCAGAGAGATCATTAATTAGAAACAACATCAACACACCTATTTTCTTTCTGTGTGGGCAGAGATGAGTCATGCTCCTTACAAACACATCCTGCGAGAAAGAGGAAATTCTTTGACAGAGGTTGAATCTAAAGTTCACAAAACTGACACAAAACATTTGATTGTGTCCTCATGTTGTGACTTCTGACAATTTGAGGTGTTCTTATTAAACCTGCATAGAAATGTGTGTGTGTGGCTGTTTCTGGGTGGCAGGGTCATTCATTATCCTTTCCTTTTTAAATCTTGTTTTCATTCATGTCACTCTGCTTTTCTGCATTTCTGACTTTTCATCGTTCCTCTTTTGATGTGTGGTCAAATTACAGACTACATCAGATAAGGAACATTTGTAGACTGACTGAGGTGGGGCCAGCAAAAGGGAAGAAAGGCAGCGAATGAATATTTCAACACAAGTCAATGTGGAATTGACTGCTGTTAACTACACAGCATGTACTGTAAAAGAAGTAACGAAACAAAGTAATGAATTGTGAATTGTTGTACCAGATGTTTGTATGACTACAAGTTTATTCACAAAATTAAAATGTATTGCCTCACACAAACTACTTATTGCGTAGATGACCTGTTAGTAAATATTTATACCTAACTGCCAGGTTATGACTGAACCAACTTGCAAAAATAGCTTGCTAATATAGGCCTATGAACTGTTTAGAGTGAAAAGAACAAGAGTGGGATATGAATGACATTTGACCAATCATGTACCGACATGTTGTTTGAACCTGCATTAGCTGATTTTTGGTCACTCGGGAGAAGCGCAACATTGACATATTATCAACATACAAAGTTGATATTTACTTTTTCTCTCATCTGGTTTCAGGATCCACCCAGGAGGAGCTGGAAAGCATTTCTGCCTTCACAGAGAAGCAGAAGAACACCGATAGATGGGTTTGTAATGATTTTGAAAGCCAATGTTCCTAACAATAAAGGTGTTAGATGAGAAAACACTATTATGGGTAAGAAACTACATAATTCACAGTCATTATTCCCCTTAGAGCTGTGGATTTCAAATAAGGGCGCCAGAGGGAGCGTTACGTCACCTCAGAGCCTTGTATTCACCTGGGCTCGCCACTGATGGTATGTGAAAACCCTGTATTGTCCTGTTTGAGGCCTCTTCGTGCCCCGCTCTGGCCCCACCACCTCTGCTCACAGCGGTGCCAGTGAGTCTTGAGAATGAGGGACCCTTGGTCAGTGACCGCTAAGTGGCCGTTTCATAAAGGTAAGTGCCATTCAGAAAAGAAAGAGCTCGTGATCGATTCAAAGCGTTCCTTATGGCAGAGACTGTCAACGCCTGGCTATAAGGAGACTGTTTGAATGTGTACAGTAACCTGTGGTTGAACTCTGCTGTAGAGTCAAAATGAACTCGGTGATAGACAGAAAAACCTCCTTGATGTTGCAAAGTCAACATGAAATAGTTGGAAAACCTTGTATGTACTTTGAGATGGCAATTTTATTCTACATATTTTAATGTTAATGTTGCTCCTAGTTAGGTGATGCAAAGATTTTATAGGTGTTCATGTAATAGTCATTTAATGCCCCAATAATGTTGATGGTCCAGGGCAATAAAGACCTTTTATGGCTTCCCATTGTCTTAATTGTCTGGTGGCCCCTATATTTGTTATTATTAGGAAAATATATTTTACATGATTGTGTTAGTAATGTCATTCATAATTTTATAAGTTTAATGCTTATTATGGCTTCCCTGTCTTGTCTTGTTTGTCAGTAACGCAGTATTGTCTCTATACCAATCTAATAAAAAAAGATATGTTAAAGCTCAGTGAGGCTTAACTGGTTAAAATTTTGGATAAGATTTTGTGAAATAAATAGATAAAATTGAATTTATCTTGTGACTCCGTGAGGGGTCCCGACTGAGCCAGAGTACAAAGGCACTGACTTTGGTTACTTACTGGCCAATGTGTTAGCAGATACTGTTCACCTCCGTTGTGTACGGTAATTGGATTCGGCGGGCTGTTAAGAGTAACATAGCTAGCCAGCCAGGTAGCTGGCAGTATCAAAGTAAACAAGGGTCCTAGAACTGCAGTTCCGCTCCTAGGACTGCGGTTCTGAAACTGCAGCCTCCGGTACTGCAGCTACATACTACTCAAAATAATGGTAAAATGACCCAACTTCTCAGCTTATTAGGAGTTGGCTGTTCACTTTCTCTGGTGAGTACATTAAGTTTTAAGACTGTTGTTCACTAGACAAAATTATCAGCCCTGCTAAAATGACAGTTAACATGAATGACAGATGCACCTAGCTAAGCAAGCTAGCTAGCTCCACACAAGGCCGTTAGCTCCACCGTCTTGCCCAAATATGGTCATGTCTGGTGCCGCTGGTTGCAAAAAATCAAAATGGCTGCGGCATATCAGCCAAACTTGAGGCTTCAAAACGGCAGTCCACAAACCAGCCGGGGACGTCACGATGACTACGACCACTTCTTATATACAGTCTATTGGTCTACAGCTTGACCTGTTCACGACACCAAAGCATCTGAGAAGCTGTGTGTGGAAATATTTTGGCTTCTACAACGTTGATGTCAAATTCACCAACAAAGATAAGCCTGTTTGCCTTAAGTGACATCACTTGAGGCAATTTATCAGACTTTACACAGCTCCCTCTGGAGTCACGAAAGACTTTATGCAACTCATTCTCATCTCATGGCGTCACATATGGACGCTTTTTAACACTCTGGGTGACCTTTTAGTGTTGTTTTTGCATGTGTAGGACTCAGCGGTCAAGTTAGCAAGAATAAATATGCAACGTCCGGTTAGACTTTCAAAATAAAACTATTGGTTATGTTGTAAAATGTTGCAATTTGGTTAAGTTTAGGCAACAAACTATTTGGTTAGGTTTAGGCAAAGGTCGTGGTTTGGGTTAAAATAACATCATTACTTATGTGACTTAACAGAAAACTTATTTATATGGCATCCCATATTATCACGTTGCCATACTCTGACTTTTCTGTTATTTATTCTGTTATTATAAAGGCTAAGTTGGTACCAGACGCCAAGGGACATGACAAAGCAAAGGTATGTGACACCCTGGCAGTGAGAATGGGCGTCTTTTTTTTTTTACACTGACTTTGATGGGAAAAATTGACAGTTGAGTTTTGTTCACTAACTTCCTGTGGAGCTTTTAGCCACATCTTGTGGCCTTTGATGAATTGATTCCATACTTAAGTCACATAATGACAACTAACCCATTCCCATTACCACTTTCTGTGTTTTCCATTTACAGAGCCAGTGCTGAGTCTTTGTTTTGTGTTTGCTTTTCAGAGCACACACAAAACGGAGAGCTAGCGAACCATGAGCAAATATTCACTGAATTTAACAAAAAGTGTATTGTATTACAGTCACTTACTACATGTGTACTGCAGCATTAATGGAGTCAGAGGGTTCATCTGGCAGGTCAGGACTCCACATCTGGACTGATTTTTCTTGGCTTTGACATAATGTTGGTAGAGTTAGGTTCAGAGAGAGAAAGAGAGAGAGACACTATGAAAGAGTGCTATAAAATGGGATACAAGTAACAACTTTATTAACCAAACCTCACCTCTAGTAACATCCAACACACAGCAGCAGTTTATCGTCAAGAAGATGCATAGAGAAAATACATATTTTGGTGCCTTTACTTTTCCTGATGTTGTACTTATCTCACTTTTGAAAGAAGCAGGCGAGCCTGATATAAAAAAAGAGAGCAAAATTATGCTGCATCAGATAATCAACTTAAACCAATCAGCCCCATGAAAAGGTGACATTTACCCTCTAGACATGAACAGTTTGTTCTGCCACATTGTGCAACGCCTTGTAAGTTTTTATCACCCTTACACTGAAGGAGTGGGACTCCTTTTGGAGCAAAGTAAACTTCTGGTCACACACACACACACACACACACACACACACACACACACACACACATAACAGTTGTCTGTACAGGAGGATGACTGGAGGCTAGTTGGTGTTTCTGTATCGCGCTGCCCTCTAGCTTTCAAAGAAGCACTGTACTGTGTGTTTTATAAGGAAATATGTAGAGCATGGAGGAAAAGGTAATGAGGGCCAGAGAGGGGTCAACCTTCACTTTCATTAGCTAAAAAATGTGTTTTTTAATTAATTTTCACAGGATGCAGGTCGACTTTTTCAGAAAGGATTAATATAAAGATTAAAAAGTCCAAATAAGAAGAATAAGGAGAACGATAAATAAATGTATCAAACTGGTTTACGTAACAGGAACAGGGTAAATTATTAAACATTCATGTCAGTGTGCCAGCTAGCCAAATGGCATTTTCTATCTTTAAATACTAAATTTAATTAAATTGTGTGTTAATTTAAATCTAAAAGTGCCACTCACTGTCCCACCTTCAACTGGTATATTTATATACAACGTTTCAGTTTACATGACCTACTTCAGATACATGAGCAAGCATCTCAGCTGTCCCTTATATTTTTACACAGATGCTGGCTAAAACAAACAAAAAATAGGTCAGCTAGTTAATGAACCACGTAGGGCGAAAAAACACACGTTGCCATTCACAAATACCATACTTTCATACAATGTACAAGAACCCAGTCCCTGCTGTAGGACTGGCAAACTTATCATCACTTAGCGATAAACTTCTTGCAAATAAGTAATTACCATCATTTTGTTATTTACAGATTAATGAAAGCACTTAAAAAATAAGAAAATAATATAAAGAGCCTGATGAGATAATTCCTCTGCAGCATCCTGAATCATAAGTGAAGCTATAGTAAAATATTTTTTTTTAATGAAAAAGAGATTCTGTATATCAGTTGTCTGTAGTATAAACCAGGGCTGGTAATACTGCTATTAAAAACCATGTGTGCATATAAAACACAGTGGATTCAGACCATTGTGTTTGGACCACATGCACCACTGCTGCTGCTGCATTCCTCTCAGTCGTCTGGTCTGCACATGAAGTTGTAAAAACATTAAGTAAATCAAACATTTCCATGTCTGACTGGACAAAACTGGAAGGTAAAACCTTTGTTAATGACTTCATAAAGTTGTGTTGCACCAACCTAATAATAATAATAATCATCATCATTTTCACTTCACCTCAGTCAGCACGGCTTACAGCTACATCGGACCTAATTTGGATTTGATTTAATCTGACAGGACAGGTCACACACTAGGTCGTCTCTCTCTCACACACACACACACACACGCGTACAAGCTGTAAACCTTCTTTGTATTATCTATCCTCATAATGCAGTGACACTCCCTTGGTTCCTGATGGTGGAGAGGTAATTACAGGATTCTTTTGAAAACTTTGGGGATGTAAAAAAGCCAGGAACTGATGAGTATCCATTGCTGTGGCGCTTGGGTGCAGAAGATCTGCCCGGGAGAAAAGCAAGACCTGTCCATCTCATCAATGCATGGTAGGAGTCCTTTTTAGAATAGAATAGAAGAATAGCAAGATGCATGATGTGTATAAAACTTACATGTATAAGCAAGAGAAAATAGAAAATCTAAATATGACCAAATCGGAAATTAAGAATAGGCACAGTGGGCATATGTGCGTGCAGGTCTCCTTAAGTGGGTTTTAAGAAGTAATTTAAAAGATGATACTGACTTTAACATCTAAGAAAATCACCCTCATTCAAGGCCCTTCAGGCCATAAAAATGTGATCACCCCACAAGCAGATCAAAGGCTTTCCACATACTTGACAGGCAGAATGACCAAACACCAAGCAGACATTTTTGGTCCCTTTGATTTGCTCAGATCATATTTAGTGGGCAACACCTGAAGCTGCTCACTTGTCCTCCTGTATGCATCCTCTTCACTTTTGTTTTACAATCTATGTTTTTGTCATCATAATTGTATGTACTATGATTTTCTGTTGTGAATCTATTCCGGACACATGACATATATTGCATGTATGTCCATCCTTTTAGAGGGGATTGCTCCTCTGAGGTTTCTTTCATTTTTTTCCTCGTTAAAAGGTTTTTTAGGGGGGAGGTCTTCCTCATTCCAATCGAGGGTATAAGGGCAGAATATGTTGCATGCTGTACACACTGTAAAACCCCTTGAGGCTAATTGTGATTTGTGATATTGGGCTTTATATATAAAATTGACTTGAATTTATCTATTCTCACTGACATGAGGATTGTGATACAGTAAAGGTTTGAGACGTTCACATCAGTTGATCCTGCTGTAGCTGCCTGAGCCAGGCGCAATCTCCGAGTTCAAAGTCACTAAAACTGCTCTTGGATGACTGTGGTTTCCATTAAAATTCAAAACATTATAAATCTGTCAAATTTTTTCCAGTTTTTGTTTGAAGACTTGTTTGTCTTTGTCTCTGTTCCTCTTCAAGATTTTCCACAATTAATTCCCAGTTTTTCTTTTTTTTCTACCTCACCTGAGTGAATGACAGACACATTGCCTGAATTTGTGCAGAAAAGGTTTCATGAAGGAGAGAAATCTGACTTCTAGGGATGCCCCCAAAAAATGTAGTCTTCTTTAGTGTCTATGGGGTTCTTTCATTATTATCTATCACAGTGGTAGAGTTACTCTACAAAATCTATTCACTTTTACTTTTCTCCAAATCCTTCGTTGTTCCAGGGCAGCAGCACCTTCAGACCATCTTCCTGTGAGCTCTCGAGGTGGTGAGCCTTGAGATGCAATCACAGCGCTGTGCCTTCATCGCCTTACCTCAAACATGGAAGCAGACACCAGGCAAAGCTCCTGATATCGACCCATCATCGCTTCCTCCTTCTTGTCTTCCTTCTTCTTCTTCTTCCCCAGCTATATCCCACCTCTCTCTTCCTCCCTCTCTTTCACCCATATCTCTCTCTCCTCTGTTCCCTCTGTCCCCCCATTATCTCCTGAGGTTCCTTCTGGTTCTCCTGTCCTCCCTGTGTTTACTGCCCTGCCCCACACAGGCAGCCTGGTTTCGGGTTGGGGTGGTCGGACCATGGGGGTGTGACCCTCTCTTTGCTAAGGCCCTTCCCAGTGTGGCGGCACAGCTCGCCGTCAACCGCATCAACAAGGACCCCTCGCTGTCCTACGCTGTAACATTCGACTATGCTGTGCTGCAGGTGCAATGCTGACTTCAGCTTCATCGGCCTGAAAATAATGTGAACTGAACCACTAATTGTATCAGCCTTACCTGTTCTGAGATACATAAATTATTTCATTGTCACAGTTTAACATCTGTATGCAGAAAACCAAACCTTTTCTGAGTTAGCTAAGTAAGCTACATTAGTCAAGAAGTTAGCTGAGTTAGCTATGGTAGCACCACTTTGTAGAAAAACAGGTAAGAGGGGCGGGAACAAGTGCATAAAAGATATATATAGGCAATGAAAAGCTCATAACATTAAAAAATAAGCTCAACATTTGGGAAGTACGCTTTAGTACGTTTAATCTCAGTCTAATCCAGAATGTGGTTATCTTAGCTTGGAGTAAAGACTGGTAACAGGGAAACAGCTATCCTGGCTCTTTCCAAAGTGAAAAGAAAACCAACAACACCTGTACAGAGCCGAAAGTCACAATGTCGTGTCCGGGCTACCTTCTGTAATTCAGTGCAATCTGTCATTTTGCCTTGCTAAAATGCTGAAGCGTGTTCCTGGGACAAATTGGCATACAGAAAGTTGCTATTAAAAACTAAAACCTTTGTGATTTGAAAAACATTTTTAAAATTTAAATTTACTTTGTGGGCACAGAAAAAGACATAGCATTGGTGGTACTTACGTCATAACAACTTGATTTTGTCCACAACCATAATATTCACAAAATACTCTCTTGAAATGTTGTTTTCCCAACTTTTTAGCTGTAATCTTTGCTGTCCTCTCTGCCCTGATGCTGTTACAGACAGGTCTAGCTGTGGCACCTCGACTTTCTCACGGACTCTTCTCTTTTGTCGAGCATTTAGTCCGCAGTAGTCTAGGGTGGTTCTTTCAAGACGCTAACAAGCAGAAATTATTAGACACAAAAAACTATACATGCACAAAACTACTCAGGAGGGTGCAGTTTTTATTTAAAATTTAGTAACATATATATTTACAGACCTGCATGGGAATCAATTTCGACACTTGTCATATTGCTTAACATAATAATGCTGCAAGATGATTATATGAACCAGCTTGTCTACAAAAAGCTACAGGCTGGCTGGTTGGTACATTGATTAATTTGTCACTTTTCAGGAACCATGTGAGACATCCAGGGCACTGGAGGCATTCATGGGGTTCCACACCAGGGCCTCAGGGTACATTGGACCTGCCAACCCCGGCTACTGTGATGCTGCTTCAATGCTGAGCAAAGGCTGGAACAAAGTAGGTGGTGTTTCTGAGGCAATTGTATTTTAGGGGTTTTAGGGTTGTGACATGTCCATTTTCTCCTCTACTCTGCTCCCACAGGCACTGTTTCCTTGGGGTTGTGTTGGCTATGAGCTAGACAATGTTCGGAGCCACCCAACCGTTGCCCGTTCAATGCCAAGGCCCACCTGGGTGCTCCTCAGTGTCATAAACTACTTCAGGTGGGCCCACATTGGCATCATCTCTTCCTCAGAGGACATCTGGGTGGAGACGGCCACCAAGGTTTGATTATTTTTTATTTCTAACTTCTCTGCAAAAGAACAGCAATTGGATTCTACTTGCTGCCGAGATGCTGATAAATTAAATAAAACAGTTTGATGACAGAGGAACCCACACTTTGCTGGGACATTGAAACACCTAATTATGAAGAAATGTGACTATTTTTGATATTTGCTCTCATTTCTCTGATTTCCTTGTTTGAGTTCATGGTTTTCATCTGCTCAGTGTGTATGTGTTGCAACTGTCCCGTCCAGGTCGCTGATTCCTTGAGGAGCCATGGTCTGCCGGTCAGACTGGTCAGTTTTATGGAGAACACACCTCACGGCATCAGACGAACTCTGTCCAAGGTCCGCAAGATGGGAGAATTACGAGGTAACTTCCAATTTATTCTTGGTGTTCAGAACCTAAAACAGGACATTGCTGCAGACCGCAGACTTAATGATTTTTTAAAAAAAAAGTCAGTTCTTCAATGTTATGAACTCTTGTCTCGTGCTAGTTGTTATTCTCTGCATGCACTCGGCGCTGATTGGTGGCGCAGCCCAGAAGCTGCTCTTGGAGACAGCCTACGACATGCAGATGATCGATGGCTCTCTGGTCTTTGTGCCCTACGACACCCTGCTCTACAGCCTGCCCTACCGCAACGTGACCTACCCAGCTCTGAAGAGCAACCGCAAACTACTGCGGGCTTACGACGCCGTGCTGACAGTCACAATCGACTCACCACAGGTGTCGTTCTACGAGGCCTACAGAGAGGCCATGGAGAGGGGAGAGGTGGCGAGGACGCTGAATCCACAGCAGGTGATGCACTTACATGTAGAGTTTGCAGAGGAGGGCAATATTGAGATGCCCTTGAGCAAGGCAGTTTCAAAATCTGTATGTCTGGCCTGCAGGTGTCTCCTCTCTTTGGCACCATCTACAGCTCTGTCCTCTTCATGGCTCATGCGGTGCATCGCGTTCGGGAGTCTGGGGAGTGGATGTCTGGGGGAAACTTGGCAAGACACACCCGCAACTTGGCCTTCCAGGTAAAAAGAAAATCATGAATGAGGCGCACAGTATTTAAAACAGTCAGGGAGAGTCTGAAGCATTTTCGGGAAGTGTAAATAAGGAACAGTAGACTCATTATATTTGTTTTAATTGTTTGTTTGATTTCCTAAAACTTTCTAGACCAAAATAGACTATATAGTTGAAGAATGACCCATTACCATATTGTACCTGTACTCACATTTGTATCATCCATACCGAACATTTCAAACTCCCCGGCATGATAAAATAACAAAAGCCCTAAAAAAGGCAGTTCCAACTACATTCCTTATTCACGTTGCAGGGCTTCAGCCATCCCATCAAAACCAACGACTCTGGAGCAGCTCTGCTGGACTACCTCATACTGGACACAGACGGACTCTCCTGGGAGCTGAAGCCAACATACAGGTATATGGGGACTGAGATCAAGTGTTTAGTGATCCCTTTTAACACATCTAGAACAATTAGAGAGTTCTAAAAGCATGTAAAGAGTTCTATTAGCAATCGAAGCTGATGAGTTAAAGGACCATACCAACATTTGATGGGTTGTAGTTTGAGTTGCGTTATATTCTAAAGTGCAACTAAACCCATACTCAAAGACTGGAATACCATCTCAGGAGTTATTGTTACATTATTAACTCGACTGAATTGATTAATGACAGGATCGATATGGAGGCCCGTATGGTGAGTTTCCTGGGTCGAGACATCCACTTCCCTCGCGGCTACGGACCCAGGAAGGATGCCTCCTGCTGGTTTACTCCTGGAGTCCTCTGCTCAGGAGGTTAGGAACACAAATATATATACTGTACCTCAATGCGTGCTGCTTGTTTTGGATTACTGTTCAGACTTTTAACAGCGACCAAGGACACCTCAAAGAAACATATTCCCTCAAGTGCTCTCCCAAAAAACAGTTTAACTGGGGTTGTTTATGTCAGTGCTTATAAACTAATGCATTATGTCCAAGTATGTTATCTAACTGCATGTGCACAGCAGTCCAAAAGACTTTCCATACCAAAATGCTTCCACAAACTGAATGCAATTCTTTACTCTAAAATAGGGTTAGAGTCGGGATGTAGCCCTGTGCACGCTCCCGAGCCTCTCCCTGACTACAGCTAACGAAATGCAGTCCACTAACACCATAAACAGACTTCAACATAAACTCCACGTACGGCTAAAAACAAAAATAAAGTTTTATATGCTGAAACCCATCAGACCAAATTAGATTTAGATGATGGTGGTAAAAACAGTGAACATCGGAAATGCTGGAGTCACGAGAGAGTCACGTTAGCTCGTCGGCTAATGCCGAGCAGTTGCTACTATTATCCAGTGCAATATACTATAGTTGTAAATTAGTCTTTCCACATTACTTCACCAGCTAACGCGATTCACACGACTTGTCAAATAGGTGATTTAGCCCACAAGAAAGCAAATGTAGACTTTACTAGCTAGTTTGCTTTTTGTTTACTAGCCTATAGTGATACAAGGCAGGACAGCCAGTAAACGTTAGCACAGATCCAACACTTCGTAGTGTTCAATTTAGAAAATAATGTGAATTACTGATACTCAGGTACACAGCTTCTCCACCTCTCAGTTGCTGTAACTGACGTGACCCATATAATTTACAATACTGCAACATAACGGTGACAACAACACAGAAGAAGACCCATTCACTAATGTTACAGTAATGTTACTTACTTATTGTCTAACTTTTATAAAGTGTAGCAACAATCTCATTAACAATAAGATTCAGTGCAGCTCACTAACCGTTTCATTATCATCCAATACATTTAGCTGTGCTCACATTGCTGAGCCTCCGGTGAAAGATACACAGATAGCAAGGTCCCTGAAAAGCAGCAGACGAGCTAACGCCGATGTACCACGTCAGCTAAATGCAGTAAATGTATCGTCATCATGTAACCAGCATGGATTAGTTCAAACTCAAGTTGATAAACATATTACTGTAACGTTGCAGTGGGAGTTTACCTGAGCTTCCAGCATGTTGTGTGAAGCTGTCTCCCTGTCTGTCTATAGCCGCTGTCACTCTGCCTTTATTCCCGGGATGATTATGCCAACGTGCGACTCGCTGCGCTGTGTGAAAGGTACAAAGCTGGTGTTGATCTGCCTCAGAGCCGGCAACGTTGAAGTAACAGAGCTTGAACGTGTCTGGAGAAAAGCCATAGTCGGGTGGTTGTGTTTCAGATTATTTTTGCTCATGACTTCAAGCCAGCAGGTGTACGAGCACACACCTGGTTGCAATCTTAAAACCGCACCGCTAGTGGACGCTGAAAACTCCATAATACCCCTTAAATCCTTTTTCTTTCATTAAAATGATCTTTTAATCATTTTTCTTTTTAAAACTCTTATTTTATTGTTGCAGGGGTGGATCTATACTCGACCATCAGCGTGTTCCTTGGAGCGATGGCCACCTCTGTTTTTGCAGTCGCACTGATTTACTGCATCAGGTACAAAGTCTTGTTGGTCTGGTTCTAAAGGTTTTACAGAACATTTGTTTGTAGTTTAGTTTTTTGTACAATCACTGTCACTAATAAAGCCGTTCTTGATATAGGCTACAGTTTGTGACTGGTGTATTCTGTCACTCTCTCCTGCCGTCTATATAGGGGACGTATCATTCAGATTCGACTGATTAGGGGTCCAAACAAGATCTTGCTGACACTGGCAGACGTCACATTCATTAACCCGTCTCTTAGCAACAAGGTCAGCCCCCATCCCAATTGACTCTGACATCTTTTGCTAGAGTCATACTTTTACTTGCATTGTGTATAGAAGTAAAACCAAGCAAGACGAAGTTGTCGTAAATGTTGATGTATTGATTTCAATTTAATAAATCCAAATTTCTTTGTGAGTTAAAACATTTCTTCAACTGCCAGGATCAGAAAATAAACATCAAAATGCCAGTTTTTCTGTCAGTAAGGTCGCCCGTAAAACAAATTCAAACCAAACCTTTGTCTCATATTCTGATCTTGCCTCCCTGTAGAAGCTGAGTCACAGTGACAGCAGGAACAGCGGCATGAGGAGCGTGTCAGACCGCAGCCTCATGTCGCCCGTCTCATCCCAATCCCCGGCCACCTACGAGAACTCCAACGTTGTCATTTACGAGGTGAGACAGTGAGTTTAATATGTACATGATGAAAAGAATTTGGAAAAAAGTCCCAGTAGCCAAAATGAAATGTCTTTTTCCCATTCTGGCTCCCTTAAACCTTTCAGTTCTGCTACTTCCATGGATCAGCCTCTAAAAGTGAATTACTAGCAAAAGCATTGTAACTAATAAAACATAAAGGCAGCTATTCAGTGAACTCCTTACAGCCTCTAACACCATTAACTAGAATGGGACACGTAATAACTTAATAGGAAGCATGATTCTGTAAGGACTATAACGACCTGATATGTTGACTGACTATGAGAATTACCAATTGGTTCATTTATAAGCCTCACTTCAACAGCCGGCTGTTTGGTGTTTCTCTGCTCCAGGGTGACTGGGCGTGGCTAAAGAGACTTCCTGATGGGATGTTTAGCAGCATCAACCCCAAAACCAGCCAAGTGTTTGAACTGGTACGTGACATTGTTGTGAGACAAACAAGCATCATAAAGTTCTGTTATAAAAGGGGCTGTTGATTTTTGGGCTACAGATGAAGGACATGCGTCATGAGAATATAAACCCTTTCCTGGGCTTCTTCCATGACTGTGGCGTGTTCGCTATCGTGACCGAGTTCTGCTCCAGAGGAAGTTTGGAGGACCTGGTGCTGAACGACGACGTCAAACTGGACTGGATGTTCAAGTCTTCTCTGCTACTGGATTTAATTAAGGTCAATATGGAGGGAAGGCAGGACAGACACAGACAAGAGAGTGAAAACTGTAACTTGTTTGTTTTCTCTCTCAGGGTATGAAGTACCTCCATCACCGCAAAGTGTGCCACAGTCGTCTGAAGTCCCGTAACTGTGTGGTGGATGGGCGTTTTGTCCTCAAGGTCACAGACTACGGCTACAACGAGGTTCTGGAGGCCCAGAGGTTCCCCTATATTGAGCCACCTGCAGAGGGTGAGAGAAATGATCAGATAACGAAGATCATGTTCTGCCTGTCCTTGTGCAGACCATTTGTAGAAGTTGCTGCTACAGTAGCAAACTGTGGATCTTGTGTGTTTCTAGAGTTGTTGTGGACTGCTCCGGAGATCCTGAGGATCTCTGGGCAGCCGGGGGTTCACGGGACTCTATCTGGTGACGTGTACAGCTTTGCCATCGTCATGCAGGAGGTGGTGATCAGAGGGCCTCCATTCTGCATGCTGGACCTGTCCGCGGCAGGCAAGACAGCAACTTCACAAACACACAATCAAACTCCCAGAAACCTGAAAACATAGGATGTTTCCTCTAGTGCTGCTGGAGTCTACCATGAAGTTCACATTTATAGCTCAAAGTGAAATATCTTGGATGGATTGCCATGAAATTCAGTACAGACATTCATGTCAATCATCCTGAGGGAGTCAGGATGATTAATGACTAATGACTTTGGTGCTCACCCTGACTTCACATTGACCGCCACCATGAGGTCAACATTTTAACTTTGGTTTATGACCAAATACCTGCAGAATGAATGGCATTCCCATCAGCCTCATGTGTAATTTGTGTTAATGCTATTCAGAAAAGGCTAGCATGATCACACATTGAAAATGGTGACAATTAGCAGCTATACAGCACGTTAGGTATCATTGGGATCATTGGGAGGCAGGATGTACCATGATTGGTGTTGGCTTTTGGCTCAAAGTCTCACAGAGCTGCTAGCATGGCAGTAGAGTCTTGAGTCTTCTGGGACTAAAATGTTGGTGGATCAAAGTTTGGGGGGTTGCCAAAGTCATTAAGACTCATCCTCTGGGCACCGTGCATGTCTGCATCAAATAGGCCTATCATTGTATCTAACAGCTGTCAAGATATTTTGATCTGGATAGTGCTTCACTGACTGAACAACATTGCCAACCCTTTGCCAAACTGCTTGCATGGCTAAAAAAAAACAATGGGCACAAACATATAACCACCGATGTTGTGTCTGTGTTTTAGAGATAATAGAGAAGCTCCGTAAGCCTCCGCCTCTGTGTCGTCCGGTGGTCAGTGCAGACTATGCTCCGTTAGAGTGCATCCAGTTGATGAAACAGTGCTGGAATGAACAGCCAGACAAGAGGCCTGACTTTGAGGAGATCTTCGACCAGGTAGTTATAAAGGTTTTAGGTCATAACTGCATTTTGTTATCATTTGAACAAAATGTCTACCTTTGAATGCTTGTTGAATGGTTGTAGCATATTTAATTGAAAATGGTTAATTTTGCTTTGGTAAAATCAATTTGGGAATAAAATGGCCTTTCTAATTTCTCAGCTTGTACCTCCTCGAATCCTCGCATCGCGTCTTAAGTTTTTCCAAACCGAGATGCGAGCGGTGGAGTCAAAGAGGAGATGTGATGAGAGAGGAGTTGAGGAAACAGACATTCAACTTGCCTCAGAGCCGTCATTTTAAAGCAATGTCAATTACCTGTGACAAGATGCACAGCTGCATCATCTGTCCACTAGGGGCTCATTTCCCTAATTTGTGCCTCCTCAATCATCGAGCCTATGAGCCTGTGAATCTCAGCGCGCCGCCTTGAAGGACATCTAAATTCCTAAAATGATCCAAGGATCCAGGAGACTTGCTGGAGGAGCTGTTAGCGAGGATACACCAGTGTATTCTTTGCGAAAATCTTTTCAGCAGCCATGAGGTTTAAAAGAGGCGTGACAGGCAGCTGGACTATACAACCCATGGCGGAAGCAGGACTGTTCCTGTTGTATTAGTTATTCAAGACGCGATAAGTAGAAGAGGTACAAACTGAGAAAGGAGAATGGCCTATTTTAAGTTTCACCAGACTGCAGAGCAACTTTTTCCCCCAAGCTATCAGACTCTTAAACTCTAATTCATCCTCAGCGCTGCTTCATTGAATATTGTTTATTTCTGTTTACCATTTTTATAATTGCTTATGTATTAATGTATATTGTCTGCTATGTAGCAGAAGGGAGTTACAAAGCTCATTTTCATTATATAACCTATTATTGTTTAGGAATTCATTCATTTTGATGTTTTAGGGTGATGAAAGACTGTTCTGTTGCTTATACTGTTCTTAATCACTTAAACTTATAGTATTGCCTTGTGTTTTATTCATGTACGTCCTGTCCTTTATTCCTTCCTCTCCTCTCAGTTTAAGAACATCAACAAGGGGAAGAAGACCAACATCATAGACTCCATGCTGAGGATGCTGGAGCAGTACTCGTCTAACCTAGAGGAGCTGATCAGAGAGCGAACGGAGGAGCTGGAAATTGAGAAACAGAAGACGGAAAAACTGCTCACACAGATGCTGCCTCCGTTAGTTAATGCACACCTACACGCAGATTAAAACATGCTGAGACGGTTATACATGCACAAAGATTAACTCCATGCAGATATAGACACATATGGGTGCCAAATTATGATATTGGTTGACTGTGAATTGCAGGTTCAACCGTAAACACACTTATACATTGTAGGAAATGTGCATGTTAATGCATCTGTGCCAAAGAAGAAAAGTCTACTTTTAACTAAAAAAAGCTAGATTTAGAAGAAGTGAGAGATGAAGCACGCCTCAGGTTTTATGGGAGATAGACACTAACGTTTCTTCACCTGTTTCGACCAAAGAAACATTGAGAGTAATTTCCATCTGTCCCTACGATCACCTGCAGACTTCACGTATATTGAACTTGTGTTTTCTTCTTTCCTCAGGTCCGTGGCCGAGGCTTTGAAGGTGGGCGGGACGGTGGAACCAGAGCATTTTGCCAATGTGTCGCTTTATTTCAGCGACATCGTCGGCTTCACCACCATCTCAGCCCATAGTGAACCCATCGAGGTGGTCGACCTGCTGAACGACCTCTACACAGTCTTTGACGCCATCATAGGAAACCACGATGTCTACAAGGTGCTGTGTCTTTTATTCACTCCCGCTGATACAAATATTGGGGCATCAGCTGTTAAATCTCATTAGATCACATTGTTGCTCCTTCTGTTATGATCTACTCCAGGTGGAGACTATCGGTGATGCTTACATGGTGGCGTCAGGTGTTCCTGTCCCAAATGAGGACCGACACGCTGCAGAGATAGCTAACATGGCGCTCGACATCCTGAGCGCTGTGGGAACCTTCAAAATGAGACACATGCCTGATGTTCCTGTCAGGATACGTATAGGACTGCACACAGGTGAGGGAGGAAGGGATGCAAAAAGAAGACATTAATAGAATTACAGATTGTTCAGATGTTACACCTGAAGCGTACTGCATGAAAACGAGTTGCCGTACAAATAGAAAGTGGTTTGAATGTCCAGTTTCTGGCACTCTGGTAGTGATACAAATGCAAAGATGCCCAAGCCAACATGACAAAATAATAAACCTATATGAAACCACTTTAATTTAACTTTTAGTGTTAAAACTAACATAAAACCCGTGTGCCAGCACCGGAAGAAGTAATAAAACTATATGTGTGTGACTGTTGTAGGTCCATGTGTAGCAGGCGTGGTAGGCCTCACCATGCCTCGCTACTGTCTGTTTGGAGACACAGTGAACACGGCTTCTCGTATGGAGTCCAGTGGGCTGCGTAAGTTACACACCTAAAAACTCTTTATAGATAAAAATAAGCAGACAGCCGTGTTTGTTTTTGGCTGATCCAGTGAATTAAATACATGACAAAGAATTTAATCAAAAATCATAAAAAAATTCTACAGCTGAAATTATTAGCTCAACAGATCGATAAATTGTAAATTTTCAAGTCAAAATACCAAACCTTTGATCATTTCTTTGTCATATATGACAATATACTGAATATTCAGCTTGTTTTTCTCTGTTACGATAAATAAATACATTTGATAATGTCACCTTTGCATTTTTCTCTCTTCCAACATTTTTTAGCCAAAACGATAAAGAAACAAATCAGTAGATTGATCGACAATGAAAATGATTGTTTGCAGAAGTCCTATTGTTAATATTTATTAACATTATGCCATCATATCACACAACCCTACTCTGAAACCAAAGAAAAGCCATGTTCTTTTAAATGTTACTAAAATTATGTCATGTGGGGGCACTATGACGTCTTTTTTTGGGGGGGGGGGGGGTTGTTGCAGCCTACAGGATCCATGTCCACCAGAGTACAGTGAAGATCTTGCGGGACCTAAATCTCGGCTACAAGCTCGAGTTGAGAGGCAAGACAGAAATCAAGGTGCGACGCTTTATCAGACAAATTCAGATTCCTGTGTGTGCATGAAGTACTGCCTCTGTCTATGTGCTCCTGCCATTCTTTCTGTCCCTTTCTCAGGGGAAAGGAGTAGAGGAGACCTTCTGGCTTGTAGGGAGGGATGGATTTACCAAACCTCTACCTGTTCCTCCAGAAGTCAAGTCTGGGTAGGATTAACTGTCCTTTCTCCTCTTTTGTTTTTCTTTCATTTTTAATTCTATGCTCCCTTTATACCTCAACTTTTTTCAGCCAATTCTGCCTACCCATGTCTGCCCATCAACCCCCCCTAAAAAATAATTCCCTGACTTGTTTTGATAACAAGCTAAGCCACTCACCCACAGGTCCTCACATGAGCCATTGTAGACGTCCCAGTGTTTACTGCATTACTCCAAAGTCCTTTCTAGAGCAAAAGAAGTGGATAAGTAAACTGTATGGGGTATTATTCAAGTTTATTCCACCTGGTTCTAGTCTTATTGCTCTGCTAGGCTAATCACCTCCAGACTCTAGCTCCGAATTAAACACACAGTCATGAGATTGGTATTGATCTTGTCCTTCATCTGGCCAATGATCACATGCTGAAGCGTAACCTTAAGGTCACCTTCAGGATTAATGCGTAACTGTGGACCTCTACAGTGGTTACAACAATAAGTCCGCCCAAATAGTGAACAAGTAGGACTCCAGTGTGTGTGTGTGTGTGTTGTGTTCACCCTGTTCACTTCGTCCCAACAGGCAAATGGCCCACGGGCTGCAGATCGCCGAGATAGCCCAGTACAAGAAACGGAAAGCCGAGAAACAACAACAGGAACAACTTGCAAAGAAGAAAAACTGAGGTAATGTTATGCATTGTAAAAAAAAATGTATAACATTACTGGCTTAGTTGGCGACGTGACTCGTCCTTTGGCAAACATAGTTCGGGGACTTGCTAGCATGAACTGTCTCGAGGTGCTGCTGCAGTTTGTTTACATTTAGTTGCATCTTGATCATGACCCGCGAAAAGTTTAGGAAAAGATCATGGCCACAGTAAGAAGCAGCTGGTCAAACGTAGGGTTCTTATTTTTTACATTATCTGCATTATTATTATGAAATAGACACCCAGAAGTTCTCTGAGAAAATTTCTGAATTTTAGCAAAATCTAAAATTTTTTTGCTATTTTACCAGAACTTGTTTCTGACCAGAAGTTTCTTACTGCAGGTTATAAATTTAAGATGTCTTATGACATTTTGATTGGGTCATGTTAAAGATACAATTGAATGGAAATAATAAAACAGCAACATCCAGAGGCAGTTTAGGCAATTACAGAATTACAATTTTGATTAGTTGGTCACTTACAAAACTCAGTTCTTCTACTTTACAAGAAAAAAAAAAGTCCCATGTTGACTCCTCTCTGTGTCGCTGCTGTCACAAAAAAACTCAAATCTATTTTACTTCCTTTTTTTTTACGAAAACCCCTTAATTTAACCCCCAAAGTTTTCTGTTGTAGTCAAATGTCAGGGTTGACTACAGACACGTCTTCAAAATGAACTTTTTGTTCGAGAGCAGCGATGTGCCAACACTGATTGACCTGGGCTGAAATGAAATCTTAAATCTCGTAGTGCTTCTTTAAATCTGTTTGGATGGTTAGCAACAGATCATCTGTCATCAGGTGTACTTTTAGTTGTGAACAAGACTTCACGCTGACTTGTTTTCCTGTCAGGTAACTAGCTATAATTATTATCCATGTTTCGTTATTAGTATGTGTCCAGACTTGCTTTTCCAGTGTTTCCCCTTTGATTTTAATAGTACTATAATTTTATTTGGAGTGGATATACTGCTGCAACACAGAAAAACAGCTGCTGTCTTTCTGGTTTTGAGGTCTCAGATGTTGTCTCTGTAGAAGCCAGTAGTGAGGATGTTGTATTCCCCTGTTTATGTCCACATCATGTTGATTCTAGTTGAAAAAATACAATTGGGGTTTAACATTTTGGGAAACACACTCATTTGCTGTCTTTCTTTCTTGTGTTGCTTAGCTAGAGCCAGATAGGTGATTAGCTTTGCTTAGCACAAAGGTTTGAAACAGCTAGCCTGGCTCTGTCCAAAGTTTACTCACTAATTAATGTATGTTATATCTCATACTATTAATCTCTAGCCAAAAAAAAATGTAAAAATTAATTTGTGATTTTATGGAAAGTTACTTGCTGTAAATGTATCTGTCAGTTTTGGTAAGCGTATTTTCTGGCTTTAGACAGGGCCAGGCTAGCTGTTTCAACCAGGTTTAATGCTAAGCTGTGCTAACCATGTCCTGGCTCTACCTCTATACTGAACTCCCAGATCTAAGAGTGGTATCGATTTCCTCAACTAACTCTGGGCAAGAAAGTAATTAAGCTTTTTCCCCAAAATGTTGAACTACTCCTTTAATGATCCATTTCTTTTTATGTATAGGGTGATAATTTTGCTTTCTCATCTTGCATAATTTCCCTCCCTTTGTCCTTCCACCCTCCTTCCTCTTGACTCTCTCTTTCCCTCCATCCCCTCTCCTCCTCGCAGCACCCAGATCATCATCCCAACGAAGGAATCAAAGGACGTAAAGCAGGTGTTTCACAAGGCGGTGAAGATGATCTCTCACGTCCGCGTCATGACTCAGCTCATCGTGCCCGATGAAGATGACAACGTCATGATGTCGCACCACTGACTGACCTGTACAGTAATGTACAACTTTGCCAGGACTAGACTTCTGGGTGGATTTTAACTGCAAGGCCTGGTTGTCAGCGCTTTAAACTCATCATCCTGATAGTTTCTTGTGAAAATCCACTGACAAAAGTTTCCAGGAGGAGAAAGGGGCTAGTGACAGCGTTATCGGATCATCACTGTCTGTGTCTGTGTGTATTAACAGCTTGAGTTGACGAGATGAAGTCTTGTGTTGAACTATGTATAGAGGGTAGAGAAGTAGTGACTCAGCAAAGCGGGGATCTACATACAATGCCTGTCAGCAGCAGAGGAATGCAGCTAATCTCTCGTTCATTTCCTCCTCCTTTGCTTCCCTGTTTCTCTGTCTGAAGGGAGGAGAAGAAAGGAGAGAAGGGAAGGAGGGGAAACAGAGAGAGAGAGAGAGAGAGAGAGAGAGAAACACAAATATCCTCCAGAAATACTTAGTAATGTTTAGGTACTTAGTATTTTTGGACATTTTATTTGGATGGTGAACAGTAGACAGGTGACTCAGATCTTGGACATTGTGATTACATTAGTGCTGCAAATAATAATTTTAATTATCTGCCCATTGTTTTCTTTATCATTTGGTCTATAAAATATCAGGAAATAGTGAAAAGGGCCCAAAACAGGTCCCTCAGTAGTCAAAGGTGACATTGTCAAATGCTGGTTTTGAGACCAAAACATAAAGATATTGAATTTATGATCATTTACAAGACTAAATAACAATAATAATAATAATAATAATAATTATCTTTATTTGTAGAGCACTTTTCAAAAACAAGTTACAAAGTGCTTTAACAAGTGTAAAGACAATAATACCCAAAAAACAATAATACAGAACAATACAAGATAAAAACAAGAAAACATTGAAAAGACTAAAATACACATTTAAGATAAATATAAAACAAGTAAAATAGAATAAAATAAAAGGGATACAATAAAGTCAAATAAGATCGGGAAAGGCTCTCCTATAAAAGTATGTTTTAAGAAGGGACTTAAAAGAGTTCACTGACTCAGCCGACCTGATTTCCTCCGGCAGGCTGTTCCAGAGCCTTGGGGCCCTGACAGCAAACGCTCTGTCCCCTTTAGTTTTCAGTCGAGACTCTGGAACAGACAACAGACCTCGGCCCGAGGATCTCAAGGTACGTGCTGGTGTGAATGGGACTAAAAGGTCAGAAATATAACAAGGCGAGAGGCCATGAAGAGCTTTAAAAGTGATCAATAAAATTTTAAAGTCAATTCTAAAACACACTGGGAGCCAGTGTAATGAAGCTAAAATAGGAGTAATGTGGTCATATTTCTTAGTTCTGGTTAAAAGCCTGGCAGCTGAGTTCTGGACAGTCTGGAGTCGATCAGTAGATTTTTGGGTTAAACAAGTGAAAAGGCTGTTGCAGTAATCCAGGCGTGATGAGATGAAGGCGTGTAAAATGGTCTCCGTGTCTCTAAAAGTTAACATTTGCTATATTTTTTTTGCTATATTTCTAAGTTGATAAAAACATGATTGAACAAGCTTTGTGGTGTGCTGCTCGATGATGGTAGTATTTGTTTTGTCATCTGCTGGGACCCGATGACCAGGATTTCTGTTTTGTCTGAGTTCAGCTGGAGGAAATTATTTTATCCATTTTTTAACTTAACAAAGGCAGTTGGTAAGTGAACTCTGGGGTCTGTGGATCTGATGGACAAGTAAATTTGTGTGTCATCAGCATAAATATGAAAAGAAATACCATGTTTATGGATAATGTGTCCAAGGGGAAGCAGATACAAGGAAAACAAAATGGGTCCTAAGACCAACCCCTGAGGCACACCATATTTAACTGGACAGAACGAAGAGACATAGTTGTTTACAGACACGCAAAACTTCCTATTTGACAGGTAGGATGAAAACCATTCTAGGGCAGTACCAGAGATGACAGAGGAGATGATAAAGGTATGTTCAATCAGAAAGCAAAATTTGTGAGAATTTGACCACTGGACTTTTTATGTTTATTTGCTGTAGCTCTAAGCTAGCTAGCCACGGATGCACCAACTGAGTGTGTGTTTATGTTCAGCCCAGCCTCAAGCTGAACTCACCAGAAACTCCAGTTTTCTTATTTTTCCTCTTGTCTCTTTATAAGGCAGATTCATAAAGCTCCAGACCGCGCACAAAGCTCAGGTTTAAACATTTTGACCTCACGTGGATGTGTCTTCGCACCAGGAGGCAGGTATAAGGTGCCACTACGTTGCATCCATTCAGTGACTCTGGTTTGCAAACCTTTAAGACTTCCCTGCACCAAAATTAAAATCTCAGTTCGCCAAAGGCAGCTCTCAGGGTTTCACAGTTTCTCCTCAGCTGACGCACAGCTCCACAGTTTAGACTAACAATTCTGAGATGTGAAAATGTGCAACTGCTACTACACAAAAGAATCCCACAGCAAACCTCCCCTGGATAATTAAAGACTAAAAATAGTGCAGATAGAGGGAAATTTGAACAGCATTGCTCACGTGAGAGAGAGAGTTTTTGTTTTTTTCTTTCTCACAACCAGATCTTAGCTACATCCAAATCTGGATTTGGGGATTTTCTTTTTCCTCCGTCAGCTGTTTATTGTATTACAAACACTTGATGTACACTGATGTTTTATTGGGTAAATCTAATTATCTTTGTGGTTCATAACTTGTCAGTCTGGGAAAGGTTAATTGTCTGAAATGTTAGGTTTTTGTGTTTGTACATGCCCCTTTCAATAACTCCTCAAATAACTTTCTGTTTAGAGAGAGAGAATACCGATATCTGATGTCGTTAAGTCCAGTTTTCTCCTCACTGACTCACTGCTGTTTAGGAGACAGATTTTTGTACTTTAGTTGTAGTTTTTAATTTGTCACTTGGGCAGATTTGAACAAACCTGACATTATAATTTTATATAGACAAAAAACACAAACCTTGTTTCTGTGTTTTCTACATTATCTTTAGTTATTGCATGATTTGCAGGAGGGTTCATCATCTCAAGGTACAAGGTTGTTTATTAGTCATTATACAGCACAAGGCTGCATAATGTGCAACGTAAATTTTCTTCTGCAATTTCCATTTTTTAGCTCTGTTTTTATGTTTTATTTTATTTACCAGCACTATGTTGATGTAAATATTATAGCTGTTTATTACACTTCAGTCAGGTGGTTATTTCAACTCCACAGACTTTGCATTTTTTTATTGTTGTGCTTATAGTTGTATGTAGGTAAGAAATGATCCAATTGTATTTTAGATTTTCCAATCAACACCAGTATTGAGTCTACTTTATTTTTGTAACCAATCCTGCCTGACAAACATTACAATAAATCTTTTTTGGTGCTGAAAAAAATGTTGCCCTGTTAATCACTGACCCTGCAGGTTTTCAGTTTGATTGAGAGGCTATTTAAACAAGCCTGCAGCGCCCCCGGTGGTGCAACAGAAAATAAACTAAAGTTTGTTCAAAGTACAGTTGGCATCCAGGAAGCTCTGGAGGATTATCCCTGCTGATCCTCGCGGGGTGTGTGGGTGTGTGGTGGCAGGTAGCACGCTCTCTGTACTGAATATACGTAAATCTGCATTTTGTGTATATTGTAGGAGGGGCTCTCAACCTTTTTGGCTTCTGTCTTGTTAATAAAAGCCTGGATGTCTACGTGTGACTTTGGTTTAATGTCTATAAGATGTGAGCAGTGCAACCAAAGTGCAACCAAAGTGCTGCAAAGCTAAAGCTAAAAACTAACATCTGTGATGTGGTGTGTGTGTGACTGTAAAATGCAAATTCCTCTGTCTGACATTAACCTCCAAATTTCCAGTAACACTCCCGAGGACATGAGGTGAGTGTGCTCAATGTGAGCCCTTCAGCCCTGCTTGAATCACTGTATAATATCAATGCGTGATATCAGAAACAAGCTTTAACAACTTATTAACCAGATAAATGCTGGTTGTACTGGTTGGTTATATGACGAAAAACACATTTGGTCTACTGACACTCACAGAAATCAATAAGAAAGGTCGTTCTTGTAGATGTGAGGTTTATATTTCGTCCAACAGACAGTGAAGAGAACGCAACAAGCTGTTGTGTGTCAAAGCTACATAGCTGAAGATTATCAGTGGAATTACACTGTTACCTAGGCGGTAATGGCAGTTTGTTTGGGGGCAGGAAGGGGTCAGTGTAGATTATGATATAGTGATATAGGATAAGGGGGAATATGGATTGGAAAGATTAGGGAACCCTGAGGAATGGGAGATAGTCAGATTAGACCTGGATTATTCCTGTAAATGTGACGAATCTGCCGTCCCATCAGACTCTCAGCAACGTGTCATCATCGTAACTACACCACAAGCCAGATCCTTTTAAATTTTAACCCTATAAACAAAACTTATGTAAACATACTGTGACATTCAAATTAAATACCTGTTGTAGTTTTTCCTCTGCATGAACTCTAAATATGAGGGAAATAGTATTCTTAGAAATGCAATCAATTGCTTTCTTTCTGAGAGTTAGACATTAGATGATGGGGGTGGGGAAGCCACCAATTGAAAGCTGGAATGTTTTATTTGCATTAAGTCTGTCTTCTCACAATTTTTACTTTAATAGTTTAACATTTTGGGGGGGAAAGCAATTTTGCTTTCTTGTAGAAAGTTGGATGGGAACATTGATACCACTGTTATGTCTGTCTGTTAAATACAAAGCTACAACCAGTAGGTGGTTAGCTTAGCTTAGCATAAAGACTGGAAGCAAGGGGGAAAAAACAAAACTAGCCTGGCTCTGTCCAAAGTAAAAAATACTCCTTCCAATACCTACCTGACACAAACAGAAATGACAAAACACTAATTGTGATTTAGGGGGAGCTATAAATGCTGGAACTTGTTGCTTGTAATTGGTAATCTACGTTGTCACATTATTAAAGTCTGCATGCTGCAGTTTTTACGTTTGCTTCTTTTGTCATTTTTTTGCGACTTAAAAACATGAGTAAAAATAGTTTACAGCTGGAACTTTTTGTAAAGTGTTTCTCTCTACAGATTCATTAGGCTGTATGTTCTGCAGATTTCATTTTTCAGGCAGATCTGGCTTATCTTTTACTTATTCAGGAAAGTGTCACAGAGAACCTGGCTCTTGTTTTCCTGGAAAGCTTTGAACAGTTATCCTGCACAACACTGACAAAAATATGGTAATGTGGGACAAAGGGAATGTAACAGAAATACAAAAAAACCCCATTAAAGAACTGGTAGGGAACAAACATGTGGTTTCATGGAGACAACAACTGGTCAGAAAAACCAACATGGGTTCAGAAGTGTCAAGCTAAATCAACCCAAAATAACTGTAAAGAAACCCTGGCACAGGAAGCTATAAAAGCCAAAACATGACTAATAAAGAAGATTCCCGAAACCATAAACAATACAACATTGAAGATCCACCAACAAATGTGTGCAAACATTTTATGTGTCTCAGAAATGACAAACTAGACTGTATATGGTCTGGCTGTGGTTTGGTTCAATATTCGCTGCTGTTTTAGCCAACAATTGTTTTTCTACCATTTGACCCTTGAGAGGCTCCTGGGGACAGAAATGTAGATTTGAATGCATATTTG